TGGTGGAGTCACCATCCCTGGAGGTGTTTAAGGAAAGACTGGAGGTGGCACTCAGTGCCATGGTCTGGTTGACATGGTGGTGGTAGGGCAAAGGTTGGACTTGATGATCCTAGAGGTCTCTTCCAACCAAATCGATTCTGTTATTCTGTCTTAGGTGCTTTTCAGGGGCAGAATGCCAAATAGTGGGTCATATCGCTCAATCAGCTTCATCAATAGCAAGACTTTCCAGTGGCTGTCTTTACTCAACAGCATATGTTTTCAGTGATAGAATGTAGTTTAAAAACTCATTAATAATACCATACTCAATAAAACTTCACCTTCTTATATGCGCCTTACCATCTCTGCTTTTTCTCCTCAAAAGAATTGCAGTGAATGTCCTTCTGGAACTTTAATGATTGGAGTCTTTTCTTTCTTCTCTTGGCTAAGCTTGGTATTGCTTCTTTTGTCACCGTGTTACTTCCCCCACTCTCAGTTGTGGGGGAAAGGATAAAAAGGATGGAACCTGAAGTGTTCTTTCACACCGTTCCCAAGCTAAACATTTCTTGTCTAGACTTCTGACTAATACTTCATATCTGCACCAGATTTAGCACTTCAGGCTGCTTTTCTTTATTGCAGCTTTCTGAAGACATACTGATAAAATATGATCCATCTTACTGTAAGAAAACTGAAATGCTCAGTATTTTTACTAAATTTATGAACTTTTACTAAATCTTTTCCTGTAAGTGTGATATAATAGGTGGTAAAAATATGAATTGGCTTCTTGAATTCAAAAGTATTATCCATACCTGCAGTACATATTCTATGGGAAATTCTTCTAAGAGATTCCTTTACAGTGGTGTTACACAGCACAGTGATGAAATATTAACATACAGATACATCTATGAAGACAGATTTTCCAAATCTGTTAAGAATTAATTGAAAATATACCTGATCATAACAAAATTTCTTATTTAAATAACAATATCAGAGAAAGGTACTGCGGATTTTTGGCTAGTTTCGGTAGGCTCTTTGGTGTTGATGTAGCATTCTGGCAATGTATGACTTAATCATGCAATGGTCATATTTCTAGGACTTTCCTACAAACATACTGAAATGACTTTTAGTGTATGCAAAGGTGTTCTAACCTTAGAGATTTTTAGCTGTTCTTGAAATAAGACTTGTTATCCTTGCACTGAATTGATTCCC